CCAAGATGACTGCCCTCCGACGTCCTGATGGATCCATCACATCCTCCAGAACGGCAATGGAGAAGATTATCCATGACTTCTACTCAAATCTCTTCGATAGCCATGTCCACTTGCCGACATACCAAATTTCACAGGATGCATATGTCGTTCCCAAAGTTCTCCCTTCCGAAATCCGTCACGCCATTTTGTTGGTAAAGAAACAAACAGCACCCGGCCCAGACAAGGTCAGACCTGAACACCTGAAGAACCTGCCGTCAGTACTCATCAATACACTGGCTTGGCTCTTCACTTGCTACCTGTCTGAATGCAAGGTTCTGTCCCAATGAAAAACCAGCAGGACCGTACTACTGTTCAAGAAGGGAGACACCCATGACATTGGCAACTATCGCCCGATCTGCCTATTGTCTGTCATCTACAAGTTGTTCACTCGAGTCATCCTAAATAGGATTGGCAGAACACTAGATGAAGGACAACCATGCGAGCAAGCCGGCTTCCGCAAAGGATTCAGCACCATCGACCATATCCACACAATAAACAAGCTCATTGAGGTTTCTCGGGAGTTCAAGATGCCGCTCTGTTTAACGTTCATTGATTTAAAGAAGGCCTTTGATTCTGTTGAGACGGAAGCGGCCATTGAAGCCCTAGCCAATCAGGACATTCAAGCCCAATACATCAGAATCCTCCATGAGCTGTATTGCGGATTCACTACCAGGATCTCACCATTCTACAAAGAAGTGATCGTTGATGTCAAGAGAGGGGTGCGGCAGGGTGATACCATTTCACCAAAACTCTTCAGTGCCACCCTCGAGAACATCATGCGACGACTGGAATGGGAAGGAATGGGAGTGAAGATAGATGGTCGGCAACTACACCACCTCCGCTTTGCTGATGACATTGTTTTAATAACACCAAACATCAGCCAAGTGGCACAAATGCTGGCCGACTTTGACTGTGAGTGTGGAAAGGTAGGACTACAGCTGAATCTTACGAAGACAATGTTTATGAGAAACAGCCTCGTTCCTGACACCCCAATTCGCTCTCAACGGAATGACCATCTCCGAATGCAACAGCTATGTGTACCTAGGTCAAGAGGTCAACATGACAAATGACCTGGCACCCGAGCTATGCAGGAGGAAGAGAGCGGCTTGGAATGCCTTCAAGAACGTCGAAGAAATAGCTAAGAGGATGAAGAACCTCCAGCTCCGGGCACATCTCTTTGACTGCATTAACATATGCCTCAGAGACCTGGGCCCTACGCAAGATGAGAATGCTATTCAGGTCTCCCAAAGAAGAATAGAAATTGCTATGCTTCGAATATCACTTTTCACTCAAATGAGAGGAAGAATCCGGAGTTCTGACATCTGTCGACGATCAAGAATCTGGAACGCTGTCTCATTTGCCAAGGTGTCGAAAATCAGATGGGCTGGTCACGTAATGAGATTTAAGGATGACCGCTGGACTAGAGCTGTTACCGACTGGATTCCACGGGATGTCAAAAGACCGCGTGGCTGCCCACCTACCAGATGGTCAGACTTCTTTGTCAAGATCATGAACGATTGGTTTGAGGCCCTTCATGTTCCCGGAGTGAACAGATGCCATTGGGCTACACTAGCATGCGACAGGGACAAATGGAGACGTTACTGGCGCCTGCTCAAGCAAATCGACGACTAACGGGAAGTTAAGTGTAAGTGATAAGGATAGAATAAAAAAAACTAGAATGTAACTGTCAAATGCAAACAAAAAAAGTAAAAAAAAACAAAGATGCATGTGAATATTTTAAAGATAAAAATAATTTTAAAGAAATTAATCTGTTTTGTCTGATTGAATAATGGGGGAAAACAGCTATTACACTGAATTGATATGAATGAAAAAATTTCAGGAACAAAACACCCTCAAATGTCTTTCCCCTCTCAGGCATTGATCTTTGTCAGTGATGGGAAGTATTAATAAAACACTGTGAGAAGAAATGGCTTAGTAAGTTTCAGTTTACTTAGAAATAAAACCCAAAATAGATTTATGAAATAGTAATAAATATAAAATAGTTTTGTAAATAAATAATACTGTGACATTATACTTGGGGGCTTCATCATTTAGGAAGGGCATATACTGTCCAAGAAATACAGCCTCTAGATTACATCATTTTAACAGGGATTATTTAGTGAGCATGATAGTAAGCATAGTCTCTTATTTATGATCAGGTTGGTTTTAATTGGAAGTGGACTGGAAGGCATCCAGACAAGAAGCTATGACTACCAGTTCCCTAGAACTCAGAAATATTACTCTTTGAAAAGCTTGTTCAGACTTGCAGTATATCTGCTCGATCTCACCAGATATTCTGAAAAGCATATCAGAATCCTCTTTTCATATAAAAGCTAATCCAAAGAAATATTTTAATTTAGACAGGATGTCACAAGTTCATCAGATGGAAAGAAGGGTATAAAAGAAAGGAAGGAAACCTATGTGTTCTAATTGTCCTCCCTGAAGGAGTTCATTGATGGAAGGCAGTAGCCAAAGAGGTTTCATAGATTCTCATTTCCTTCAATAAAAGGTGCTGAGAGTCTAGAGGTGTATACACCCTCTGTAACGATTATTAATATCAGAGCAATAGAATTTTAAGAAATTTCTCCACCAGAGATACATCTCTATCAAAGACAATTATGAAAGTACAAATAAGATTCTAATCAGACACTACTTATTTCAGGAAATAATTTGGTACAGGAAGCACTCTCCCCCAAAATGAGCAGTGTTTCTTCTTTTGAAATGACCCCAAATTCCTTGGTTTGCCTACTTGTAGCCAAATGAGAATAAGCTAATTTTTTCTGAAAACTAGTAAGATAATATCTTCATTACTTATAACTCCATTAGAGTGGAAGATGGAAGAAACTAGTTTAATATTTACTCTATTTTGCCTTTTACAACTTTCTCTTCCTTCTAATACTTCCTGAGCACTGTGAAGCAAAAGTGGTGGGTCCATCAATAGTACATTTAATATAAAAAGCCTTTTGTAATTTCGTTATGCTTTCGTTGTGCCTTTGACAATTTTCACATACTTCTTTGGATTCTAACAGATATATCTATGGCTTTGGATCTTGAGCAGAAGGGATATCCACTGGTCCTTTGCATTATGGTTACTTCAATGACTCTTTTGTTTTTACTAGTTCTACTCTCTGTCAAGATTTTCTCTGGTTGTTTTATTCATATGTTCTTTTCTGGGTATTTGCATTTGTTCAAATTTATCTTCCTTCATTCACATTATTATTACTTGGTTCTTGTGGTTATACTATAAATTTTTCTGTGTTTATTATGGGAAACGCATTGTCAAATCTGTGTTTATTTTATTTTATTTTAAGATCTAAGAAAACTAACTGTTCTTTCATTTTTTTAAATTTTTTTTAAAAAAATTATTAGTGAAACACCATGAGGTACATTTGTAGACTTACACATTTTTCTGCTTGGGTTTCAGTTATACAATGATCAAGTATCCATCCCTCCACCAGTGCCCATTCTCCACCCCCACCAATCCCAGTATCCCTCCCAACCTCCATTTCTCCATCCCACCCTGCCTCTGTGGCAGGGCACTCCCTTTTGTTCTCTCTTTGGCTGGAGCAATAGCACAGCGGGTAGGGCGTTTGCCTTGCACGCAGCCAACATGGCCGACCCGAGTTCGATTCCTCCGCCCCTCTCGGAGAGCCCGGCAAGCTACCAAGAGTATTCGATATGCCAAACACAGTAACAACAAAGTCTCCAATGGAGACGTTACTGCAAATCGATGATCAACGGGAGGGCCTTTACCTTTTACCTTTACCTTTCCTTTTGGGTGCTGTGGTTTGCAAAAGAGGCATTCGGTGGCAATCATGTGCAGTCTATAGTCTACTTTCAGCATGCATTTCCCATCCTGGGCAGATCTTCCCAGCAAATCTGTGTTTAGACGGAAATGCCCTTTAAGCTTTGAGCTTGAAACCCAAACCATACAACTAACTACTTTTAGCTGACTGATCAGTTCTCTACAGTTCTCCTTAATGTAAACTTCCTCCACCTCAATGAAAGTTTTTCTGTAAATACTCTCCATTGCAATGTATATACTATTATTTTTATGCCCATATCTCTAAATGTATATACTATTATTTTCATGCCTATATCTCTAAAAATTTACCAATGTGATTTAGAGAATGACAATAAAGTGGGTCCCCAATGACAGTTTGAGATCATTTGATTTAACAAAAATTACTCAAAAAGGAACATATCTGTTTATACCCAATGGGAAAAATTTTTAATTTATAGGTTGAAACTTCATGTGATATCCTGACTATGAATTTGCTTTTCTGAAAGACTATTTTGGGGGAAAAATTTAATATTTTTGGTTATATTTAACAAGGATGGCTTTCTTAATTAAAACTACAGTGTCCTATACCTTAACACTTCCTCCTACCTTGTATCACTCTTATTTTACACTTAACTTCTCAGGCTGTCTATTCTCTGTCTGCCTGCCTGCCTGCCTGCCTGCCTGCCTCCCTGCCTGCCTGTCTGTCTGTTTGTCTGTCTCTATCTTTCTCTCTCTCTCTGTCCTCCTCGAAGCTTTTCTCACACTACTTACATCTATCAGTTCTTGTTATAGATCTATTTAGTTCAAGAGAATGAATTTAATTCACAGTTGACTTGGAATTAAGAATCTCTCTTAGGAATTTTCCAGAGCTTCAAAAAGACATTCAGTCAATGAAAAAGTTAGGGTACTTTTCACGATCTATGACTCTAATAGAGAAATCTTTTAACAATTAATTTATATATTAATACCATCTCAAGTGCTAAAAGCACTTTGGATAAGTTGAGACATTGCTTGACCAAACTCTAAGAAAACTGCTTTATTTTGTGATTCCAATGTGGGACACACATATTTGGATGTCAAGCAATGTCACACATTATTCAATAAAGGTAGAGAAAAAACATCTGCAAAGTGTTATCTTTTACTAAAAATGGACGCTGCTATTCCTTACATTTTTTCAAGTTGTTTCTTCTGACAGGATCCAAGACAAACACATAATTTGGTTGAGTTTTAATAGAGTATTTCCATTGCCCCCACTTGAATGATCTTTAAAGATAAAAATCCAAATAACATAGTGAGAAGTGGGCAATACCACCCTTCATTACTACCAATTATCCAGAAAATCTTGAGGGGAAAAAAAACCACATTGTTATTCTTAAACTACAACTAGCAAAACTCTTTGCAACTCTTTAACTTTTACTCCCCAGTTGCAGCCACCCAATTATATCTTTGACAGTGCATGAGTTTTCTCTATAACTTCGTTATTAAAAAGTAGATACGTGCAGCTCTTTCAACCTCCCGGAGTAGATCATTCTGCTACATGCAGACATAGAAAAAGTAATGTAAGTAACTTCTTCCCAATGTTATAACTAATAGGTCAAAGTTACAACTTTTCTAAACACCTTAATCATGACCTGTTTTAGTGCAAAAAACATTAATCCCAGCACTTCAACCTCGCAGTCATCAAGAATGTCATTTCTAGGGAATGGATGCTATGGGTAGCTGCTGCTCTGTGGCATGTATGACACATGATTATCCAGTACTGTATCAGACAACAGCATACTATGAGGATAAACTCCTCAGGGAGAATGGCTGTTATAATGCTCAGCAGATTCAGCAATGATGATCTAGCAATGATGACACAGTGGTATGAGTCAAGGTCAGTCATTTTATACTAGTAGAGAAAATGACCAAATGGGGATACTGAGAAATTGCCTGTCTTGGCTTCCTCTTCCATAAGGATCATTACAGATTACAGATTACATAGAAACACCTCATTTGTCTCCATCTTAATTCTCAGCAGACTAAGGTTTCATTCCTGGCATTTCATGTAGTACTGCAACCCCCGTGCAGTTTTCTCTGAGCTCAGTGCCAGGAGTAACTCTTGAGCACCACTAGATGTGGCACCCCCCAAAAACAAAAACAAAAACAGAAAAATAATTACCAAAAAAAAAGGGCAAAGGGGTCATAAGAACTTAGATTTTTTTTTTAGGTTTAATTTGTTTTAGTTGTTTAAGCTTTCCAAGTGATTCTCATACAGTCCTGTGGCCCACACTAGTGCTTCCTTGTCCATTGGTGCTGTTCAATGCCTCAGGACACTGCTACTTGGGTCTGGTGGTGCTAGGCCACTCTTAGGAGTGAGTGACTGAGAGCCTCCGAACTACACCTGGAGGGACTCAGGTTACTGTGCAGTGCCTGAATGCAACACAGTTTTGAATGCCATATTATCTCCCAGATGTAAAGTAAGGGGGTTTAACATTTTGGAATCAACCCTTTTATTTTATTTATTTATTTTTGCTTTTTGGGTCACACCTGGCAATGCACAGGGGTTACTCCTGGCTCTGCACTCAGGAATTTCCCCTGGCGGTGCTCAGGGGACCATATGGGATGCTGGGAATCTAACCCGGGTTGGCCGCGTGCAAGGCAAACGCTGTGCTATTGCTCCAGTCCTGGAATCAACCCTTTTAAAATCGAACAAATTAAAAGCACTTATCCCAACTAATAGTGAAAACAAACGTGGGTTTTGTGTGTGTGTGTGTGTGTGTGTGTGTGTGTGTGTGTGTGTGTGTGTACTATTTACCTAGACATGTAAAGTGTTAAGCAATTTTCACTGATAGTTTAATTCAAATAAACCTTATTTTTTTTAAAGAATGTAAAACTTAAGTTTAAGACAAGTTGCAAAAGATTTGAATTCTATTCAACCTCTTCCCAGCTTTATATGATAGGAACTTTTTACTTAGACACCACACAATCATAAAATCATTAAATGATCACTGGTTCAATATTATAAAGTAAACTACAGTCCTTGTTGAGTTTTCTCATTTCCCTCAAATTTGTTTAGGGGTATATAATAGAGATATTAGATATCTCTCAATATTCCACATTGTATTCATTCATTCCTGTTCTTAATGCCCTCTGCTCTACAGTTTTTGAGTCTAGTTTTATACTTTGTCATTGTTAGAAAGAATTCCAAATGGTTATTTTGTACTTTTGTAAAATTTGTAAATCTTAAGTTTTTACATTGATTGGGATACATAAAAGTATATACATATTTAGCAACAATAACTATTATATGTTGCTTTTTCAACTATGTCTTATGAAAAATTTTTGTTATGTTATCTCTTCTAACTTATGACAATAACTTTGACCTCCTGTGTTTCTTTATTGTATTCTTTATTGTAACCCTACTGTCCAACTATAAATAAGCAGGTTAAAGGAAACACTTTACAAAGGCTATTTCTTCATATACCTTTATCTAGTCACTTTGAATTCTTTATCTAGGGGTCTTATCCACGCCTAATGATGCTAAGCTAATACTAAGGTGTGTGTCTGGAAGGGTCACTCCCAGTCTGTTCAGAGTTCCATGCAGTACCAGGGATCAATGTAGGCCTCCCAAATGCAAAGCATTTCCTCAGCCATTTGAGAAATTTCCCTTGCCCTAATTTTAAAAATTTTTAGTGGAACATATCTGACTGTTTATTCTGTGGTTTCACTTACCATGAATTTCTATTTCACTCCTTTTAAACTTACTTTAGAATCATACAGTAATAAAACAGCCTTTTCTTTCTCACACATGCATTATTTGAAATTTAGGAGTGCATACAACAATTTTGACATCTGTATAAATTCATTTTTATTTGTAAAATGTATGCCAAATACTGTACTAATTTTAAGGACTAATTTTTGTCTATTCTTGGCCTATAGTTGTGGATTTCATTGTTCTGCATTTAAATCATCAATGTGTTACTTAGGGTAGGTATGTCCAAGGCTATCTTACCATTTTCAAAAGTTTTTTTAATTTTTTAAAATTTTGGGGGACTCCAAAAATAAAAGAGGCTCAGGGACCCACGGTTCTCAGCCAACATCTGGTTCAGTGTTTGGCCCTCAGGATGTAGTACCACTAAAGTCACAATAGTGATGTTTGGGAACCAGTTGGTGCTGATTTTATCTTTACGTTATCTTCCTGCCACTATTTTTCATGTAATTTTTTTCTAAAATTTATAGCTATATTTGAAGATTCATTTAACAAAATTACAGAAACAAAGTGAAAGTCCATATGCTACTACACTAAGAAAAAATTCATATAATTATCTTATAAAGCATTACTTTTAATTTTATGAATAAAAAAAGTTAAAATCTTTACATGAAAAGTAACTTGTCCTTTTAGGCACACAATCATTGCAAACACATTCGATGGCATCACATTTTGATGAACCTATATCGGCAAACCTAAGATTTACAAAAGAAGGTCTCTGTTCGCAAATGGAGATAGAGATCTCATCTCTCTTTGCAGAACGAGTGTAGATCTGTTCAAACAACACCAAGGAACATTCCTGAACAGAAATGCCCAAATAGTTCTTCAATGTTTACAGGTACCTGTGGATTTCCTGCCTGCAGAGAAATCAATAAAAAGAAATACTTTTCTAAGATGGTTCCAGTAGAATTTCACCTCCAATAAATCCTTTCTGTAAAGCATCTTTTTCAAAAGGAAATGGGTATTTTTTTTCTCCTAGGACTTCTGTGGTGATGACTAAAGCAAGCGAATAGAGACCATTTGAGCACACAATAGTCTTATGCTGTTATAAGATGAAGGACAACAGCGTATTTGACAATTTCTTCATGATTTGCTTCAAAAAAATTGAGCTAAATAACATGTTCTGTGGAGTGGAAGATATCATCATGACAGAAACCCTGCTTACATTTTTTTCCCTCTGCTTTAAGCGACAAACCAGCTTGATAAATTCCAAGCTTCATATTTTCCCCAAGATTGTCTTAATTCTGCATGATTCCTTTTCTTATTTTTTATGATTAGCCATCTAAGATGCTGCAGAATCAGATTTTGCTTTTTGGGAAATTCATTCAGGTTTGCATCAGAAAACATATGAAATATCAAGATACATTCTTTGTTCCCCATTTCCTTCCTATCATACATTGTTGTCTAGTGCATTGTAAGATAGAGATAAGCTCCTTTTTAAAGCTATATGCATCCTTTGGTATCGTTGTCACAACACAAGACAAGAAGCATTGTTGATAAGACACCCATTTGATATATAGATCAGAGGTGAACAAAATTTTAAATGATTTATAAATGCCAATATGTATAATTTTAATGGTATTTGAAATCTACTGCTGGCTAGAGGTAAAGGTTCATATCCATAATAAAAATAATTCTCCATTTCTAGTGCTTTCTTGGCACTATTTTTTTTTTGATATTGTATTGAGCACCAGAAAGATTTTAGTTTTCTTATATTCTAAACAAAAATTCACATCACGGTCACGGTCCTCCTGGTTTCATCGATTTGCTTGAGCGGGCCCAGTACCGTCTCCATCGTGAGACATGTTGTTACTGTGTTTTGGCATATTGAATACGTCACGGGGAGCTTGCCAGGCTTTGCCATGCAGGCGAGATACTCAGAGAGCTTGCCAGGCTCTCCGAGAGGGGTGGAGGAATCGAAGTCGGGTCGACTATGTTGGCTGCGTCCAAGGCAAATGCCCTACCCGCTGTGCTATCGCTCCAGCGCAAACAAAAATTAATAATAATAATAATAATAAACAAAACATTACTAGTATGTTTTCAGTTAATTTTTCATAAATACCAATGCAATTAAAATAAAATAAAATGTATTTTCATATTTCAATGAAGGGTCTCATTCTCCTAACTCTGAAAGAGCATTGAATATGGCAATTTTTAAAAAAAATCTCAGGGCTAGGATGAAGGAGATGTTACTGGGGCCTGCTCGAGGCAATCGACGAATAACAGGATGGTTGTGATTGTGATTGTGATTGTATTTTCATATGTGTATGTGAATATGTATATATATTTATGCTATGTATTTTTTCTGGATTAACAGATATATATATATAAATATATATATATATATGTCCCTGAACCATAATTTTAAAAGGTTCTTACCTTAAAATGGAGTATTTACTTGTATGATGATCACTTCACTTGATAACTTGACTTCCCGTTATTCGTCGATTTGCTCAAGTGGGCACCAGACACGTCTCCATTTGTCCCTGTCGCGTGCTAGTGTAGCTCAATGGCGTCTGTTCATTCTAGGAACATGAAGAGCCTCAAACCGATC